GTGTTTCAACGACGGGAATGGGGAGAGCAATTGTGGGAATCATGGCAGACCTGGCTGGCAGAACTTGTTTGTTTGCCTGCTGGTGCTACGAGAAACGTGGCGGGAAGGGGCCGAGCCATGAGGTCGGAAATTGTGGTGGTGCAGCCTTGCAATGTATAGTATAGGTAGCCTACGAAATGTAGATTTAGGATCCAGACCTCTTCCCACAGGTTCTCATCCCGCCAATTAATCAACTCTGGTCTTCAATAGTGGTGTTCCAGAGTCCCCTGATCGCGTTGGTATCAATTCCGAATGCTGGCTGGATAGCTTTGGCCCGGGAAGTGGTGTTTCTTCACTTTTCTGTTTCAAAACACCCAGCAAGCATACATCTGGAGTAGTGAGAAATTCTCAGAATGGGGAATCTCATGTAAGATACAGCGGATAGGATCTCTTAGTGTCTGTTCTACATGAAAAATGATTCATTGCTTGCTCAATTTCTCAATCTATTTGTGGGGAAAGACGATATAGACTGATAAAGTCACCATCCTCAATCAAACTTGTAGCTATAAGCTACAGAAATCTTCCATATCCTAACCTATGAGCGCATGCCTCCTGTGACATTTCTCCCATGTTCCGCCGTCACGATTGGGCTCTTTCTAAGGGGAGTTCCTGTACCGGTGTGTTTTGGGCCTCGCGGGGGGCTGCCAATTACAGCCTCCAAGTATCACGATATTAGCTAGAGCCTGGGCTCCCATGTTCTGCAACTAAACATGAAATTGGACTTCAGATAACGTATCCCACCGTGCGCCGAACGCCGCTGGGAAGTGGAATCCCACAACCCCTTTCCAGCCCCATTTCAACCGCATTACAAAAGTAGATGTGACTCTTCCAATGCCAAATCCGGTTGGGTGGGATGATGTGGACTAAATTTGGGGGCGGGCACGGGGGGTGGTTCCTTTGTAACTAGTAATCAAAAGAAAAGAATTATCTATGAAAACATATTTAGAATGAGGTGCTCACTGGCTAGAACTGATGAAAAAATATCAAGAAGAATACAGATTTTATACAGTATATCTATGGTGATGTAGATGGTTGATAGTCTACTATTAGATCCACAATTAGGGGAAATCGTGCTTAGGTTTGATCAATGCAGTAACTGTTTATACGTGGTTGAGTACTCGTAGGAGAGAATTTTGTCCAATTATACCTACTTAGGACAGTGAGTAATTTTTAGAGGAGAAAGGGTGAGGTATGAGAATTTGTACAGAAAGCAAGAGTACTACGAAGTTAGTTGTGGACTAGGGTGACCTTGACTGGCTTAGTTTAACCAATATTATTCTATTAGTATTAAAATGCTTTATACAGTCTCTATACCTTTTACTAGTAAGTACCTGTTGTATAAAACAGGTACAAGGGTATGCAGACCTTGCAATGCTGGATACTATTAGGTTGGAGGCATTATGGTTCTGGATGCGAGTTATGGAGTGCGGTAGTCCAATGCTTATTACCTTTGATAATTCTTTGGTATTTTATATGCACTTGTACATTATAGCTAAAAATTGGTTTCCTTGTTTGTTGTAACAATTGTGTGGCACAACTTTCCCATTAAATAAACATAACGTGGATTATCACTTCGCGGGCCACATTACTTCGCGGGCCAATTTTCCCCACTACCACCACCCCAACTTCAAGACACTTTTGCTCACATACTAATAATGCAAGTCCATAACGTGA